ACATATTTATCATTTCTAGTGCTTTTCATTTCTTCCTGTGGATTCAAGTTACTGTCTGATATCATTTCTTTTTAATTTGAAGACTTTTTATATTTTTAGAATTCCTTTAGTATTTCTAGTAAGTCTGGTAGCCACAAATTTATCTGGGAATGTTTTGTTTTACCTTCATTTTTTTAAAGGATAGTTTCGATGGACATAGAATTCTTGATTAAATTTTTTTCTTGGTGCACTTTGAATATATTATTCCAGGGCCTTCTTGCCTCCATTGTTTCTGATGCTAAGTCACCTCTTGAGTATATTGTTGTTCCTCTCTATACAATATGTCTTTTTTCTTTTTTTTTTTTTTTTGCTGCTTTTAAAAATTTTTTGTCTTTCAGTAGTTTGTCTAATGATGTGTTTAGGTTAGGATCTCCAACTTTATTTTATTTGCAGTTTGATGAGTTTCTTAGATCTGTAGATTAATGTTTTCCCATCAAGTTTAAGAAGCTTTTGACCATTATTTATTTAAAACAACAACAACAACAACAACAAAAAATACTTTTTCCTGACACTTTCTTCTCCTTTTGAGATTCCCATTATATCTATCTTGGTAGGCTTGATGTTACTCCATGTCTCTGAGGCTCTGCTAATTTTTCTTCTTTAGATTATATAATTTCTATTGACTTATTCCAAGTCCATTGATTCTTTCTTCTCTCATCTCGAATCTGCTTTTGAGCTCATTTAGTATATTTTTTATTAGGGTTATTATACAGGTTTAGAATTTCCATTTGGTTCTTTTAGATAATTTCTATTTCTTTATTACCATTGTGGAATCACTATCATATTTTCCTTTAATTCTTTAAAAATTCTTTAAAAATGGATTTTGTTCATTCTTAGAACATATATTTGATAGCTACTTTAAAGTTTATGCCTACTAAATCCAACATATGGGCATACGCAGAGACAACTTTATTTTATGTTCTGCCCTCCCCCTCCACCCCAAGTATAGGTTACACTTTCCTGTTTCTTTTCCCTTTTCTTATTCCTGTTTCTT